CATCTAAACAGACATTAGTATAAAGGAAGAAATTTCATGGGAAATAAGAAGCATTCAATTAGTAATTTCAGGTAAGTATAAATAACCTCACATATAGAATCATAATGATTTTAGACGAGAAAGAGATTTTAGAGATTGTACAGGCTAATATTTTAATTTTTCATAGGCGGAAGAAAACTAAATGTAGAGTTAAGTAATAACATGCAGGGCACTCAGTCAATTTTGTGGAACTTGAAAGTGATAAATAGTGATGGAGAAGGAAAAAACAATAGAAGTATTTAAACCAATGGGCATCAACTGAAAAAATAAACCAATGGCTACAGAGCTCACAAATCTTTTTAAAAGTTCACTCCTTGAGTTAGCTCATCATCTCTCTCTAAGGTAGAAACAGCTTTCAATAACATTTTGAGATTCATCATTTCGCAGATGTTATTAGGTAATCAGAAAAGTCATGACATTTTTTAATGTTTTTCTATGCAAAAGTGCATCATTATTTTTTGATAATCTAATCTAATCTAATCTAAATTATAATTTTATATAATTATACATTTGTTCTCACTACCTCAATAGCTGCATGCCAGAGAGTTGAACTTAAATCTTTTCTGTTCTGATAGGTTCCTGGCCAAACCGAAAGTGCAATCAAATTTCCTCGGACTCTGTTGGCATCCCCCCATATTCTTATACCTGTAAAATAAAATAGAAGAAAGGAAATATCCCAAAATAAATATAGTATGTCTGTTTGTAATGAACACTAGGGGTAATAGCTTTCATTTTTCCACAAAAATATTTTTCTAGTTTGACTCTAATAAATTATCCTATTAGATTTTAGAGTGAGTCTTCTGAACTTTTTGATAATGAATGCTACCTTTTTTTTTTTTTTTTTTTAAGATTTTTGCCATAGGGCAGTGTGCTTGCTGAAAGAGTTGGTGAGAAGGAAAGTGAGAAGTCATCTCCCAGAGGGGTGGCCATGCCACAGTTCCTTCTCCTCCATTCTTCTCCTGGAATGTATGTTCACAGGTTTCACATTCAATTTTAACAAACACGCATATGACTTTTATATATATTAGATATATTTCTATTATACTTTATACTGATATAAAAGAAATGAAACATACCGAAAATTATATACAGTGTTTTATAAAATAATAATCTTTATTTGTGATCATCTTTGTGGCTGATCTGTGAGGAATATTTTTAAAGTCATAATAATTTAAATAATTAGTGATTAGATAATCCACATATCATAAACTAGTAATTCTTACAAATTTGAGGATCTTATGGTCCAATTTCATAGCCATAGCCTCATTTGGGTATTTAAATGTAAATTAAGTACAATTACATCAACTAAAATTAAAATTTTAAATTCCTCAGTCACAGTAGCCAAATTCAGGTGCTCAATAGCCAAACAGGGCTTAGGAATTTGATAGAAAGTGAACAAATATGGAAGATATGTTGTTCAGTGAAGCAAGTAGGACTATGAAAGAGAGACATTGTATATCTCCACTTAACATATACCGACTGTCCGTATTGTAGGTAGAGACCAAAAGACTGGAAGACATAAGAGCATTAAAAATTGTTATGCACACTAGAGACAAAGTGGAATGAAAATGTGGGAGGGGAAGAGCATAGGAAAGGAAATTTAGGGAAAAAAGTAGAGAGGTAAGACATTTGTGGGACACAAATATGGTTTATTATCTATTGATAAGGAAGTATATAGTATTCTCAACTGGGCTGGACTGAGGAGTAAATCATGCTGGATAAAGTCTCTTTACAATCTACATGATTTATAGAAATTGAATATATAAATAACAATAATAATAATACAAGAAATTACTATATTAGCACAGATATAAACCATTTCCTTCCTTATAGAAATATCCATGGGACACACGGCTCTAGAATTCACAGTGAGATTGCCTTAGAAGGACATGTTATTGAGGCCAAAAAAGGATTATATTACCTTCCCCCACTGTAAAGTAAATGATGTTATTATCTATGTCCAATCCATCTGTCCCAAACACACCAACTGCTGGGGAGAAGCCATGGTGAAAAGCACAGCCTCGAAGGTATGATGAGCCATTTTCTCGAATCTATAAAATATTGGGATTCAGTCATCATTTTAAAAATAAAATTAGAGAAAAAAATTTGAAGTAGATGATTTTTAGTAAACGAACTTAATCAATACTCAATTTACTTTCCTTAGAACAGATGAGTTCTCAAAAGGTCTTTTAATCCCATGAAATTTCCATGTCTTGAATTTATGATTAAGTAAAGCAAAAAATGTGCTTGCTTTAAGTACAGATTAAAAAAAATTCTCATGGGATTTTCTATGCATTTATGTTTCTTTTAACATTTATTAAATGCTTAGGTGCTAAAATTATTTTTAATAGTTGGCTATACAATGAATATGCATCTTTTCTTTAAATTACAATAATAATAATACCTCAGGGAGAAGTGGCAACTCAAATGTCTGTAAGTCAGTGAATAGATTAGGGATTTCAACTTTAAATCTACAGGTTATTTTTATTTCTACTAAGAAATATGCTCTCTCCCATTTTTCCTTAATCACCAGCTCCCTCAGAGTATTTATTTCCCCACTTTTGACACATAGATATATAAAAATACTTTTCATCTCAAAAATTTAAGTATTAATCATTTCAATAGAAACATTTTGGCAAAAATGATTTTGATAATTCCAAAATAGACATGTGAACCACCATTAAAGATCTTCAGTTCCTTCAGCATTTGTTTTCAGTGGTTTAAGCTTAAATGAATTAAATCAAATGCTTCTATGACCCTAAGCATGTAACGGTAAACATAATCTAAGAAAGTTTTCCTAGAATATAACTTTAGCTATTCTCAGATGTGGCTATTTTGTTAAGTTTTAAAAATAAAAGTGTTTTGCACATTTTTACTATTTGCAGAAATTAAAAATAAAGCACAAACCTGTCCAAGGTTAAGAAATGTTACAGCATATCTTGGATCTGTGCTATCCCTGTAACCCTCTTGACCACTGTGATAAAACTCCACATTACTTATTCTTGCACTTCCTAGGAGAAAGAGGATTGAAAAACATTTTCTGTAACACAGATACAGAAAGACATTTCTAAAAATTAAACAAAGTTGTTTAAATTATCATGAAAACCTCATTAGTTTTTCTTTGCTCCTTTAATCCAGCAAAGGCAGTAGTTCTCAGCATTTTTTTTTTTATTACCCTCCCCCTCTAAGAAGACTTTTTAGGCATTTTTTTCTCATAGTAGTATCCTTTCCCAGGGACCAGCAGTTGGCGTAATGGCAATGTTGCTGGACTCCCAAGTAGTCGACCGTGGTTTGAGTCCCGTACAGGGTGGTTTAAACTCATGCTGGGCGCGTGTGCATGCGTACCCAAGATCCGGAGAGGAGAATGGAGAAGGGACTGTGGCGTGGCCATCCCCCCGGGGGGGGGGTGATTTCTTGCTTTCTGTCTCTCTGTCTCTCTCTGTCTTTCTGGCTAGTGCATGCGCCCCATAGCAAAAAACTCTCCCATAAATAAATAAATAAATAAATAAATAAATAAATAAATAAATAGATAGATAGATAGATAGATAGATAGATAGATAGATAGATAAATAAATATAGTATCCTTTCCCCATGAATCTTTAAATATATAGTGGTCCTTCAGAGGACCACAAACCACTGTAATATTTAGAATTTTTTGTTCCCCAAGAATCGATTTTCACCCTGGTGGGGATGACATTGTTTCATTAGGAATACAAGACCTGGGACCAGCAGATGGCATAATGGTTATGTCGCTGGACTCCCATGTAGTCGACCGCAGTTTGAGTCCTGGACCCGGTGGCTTCGAAGTCATGCCAGGTGCATGTACATGCATGTCCAAAATCCCAAAAGAGGGGACCAGCAGTTAGCGTAATGGCTGTCGCTGGACTCCTACGTAGTCGACGGCGGTTCGCGTCCTGGACCCGGTGGCTTAAAACTCACGCCAGGCGCGTGTGCGTGCGTGCCCAAGATTCCGAGAGGAGAATGGAGGAGAAGGGATTGCGGCGTGGCCATCCCCCCCTTGGGGGTGATTTTCTCGCTTTCTGTCTCTCTGTCTCTCTCTGGCGAGTGCATGTGCCCTATAGAAAAAATCTCTCTTAAAAAAGTGCATGACCCATGAGATACAAAATTGAAACATTTTTTGAATGTTATATGGAGAGAGATTTAAGGGCATTATTTTTCATGATCTCTTTCAGAACATGTATTACCAATTATCTCCTGGTCAGTTTGTTCTAAGTACTACTGAGATGACAAGCGATGGTTTTATAGATTAGTAATAACAGCAATAAAAATCCATGAGAGATTCCTTTGTCCCAAATGCTGTGCTAAATGTTTAACAGGCAATATGTGGTTTAATTCTCATAAAACATTCTATGAGTTATTATTCCTGTCTTCTAGATAAGGAAATCCAGGCACAGAAATTCATGGGTGGGAAATAATAGCAGCAGATAATTCTTGATTCAAAAACTAACATCAAATAGGATGCGTTGGAAAAGAGTTACCTTGTTTTTCTTTTTTTTCTAAGAATTTTTTTAACCTTTTTTATTTTAATTTGACCAGAGAGGGACAGAGTGAGAGAGAGAAAGAAAGGGAAAGTGAGAAAGCAAGCCACCAGGTCTGGGACTCAAACCAAGGTTGACCATGTGGGAGTACAGTGCCCTTAACCACAACACCATGTGCTGGCCCCAGAAAAGAGTTACTCTGTACTAGAAGAGAAAAGCCTGCCTTTAAAATCTATGAATCAGAGATTAAATACATGGTGGAGAACATAAGAATAACAAGATACAGACAGAGGAAAAAGTGGCTACCACAGGTTCTCTAAGTTTGTAACAGCCATAGATTCTTTTCTTTACTCACATCACAACTTACAGGAGCAAAGAAAGGTTGTCATGAGACCAGAGTCCATCATAGAATTTGAAGTGAGACATGAAGGGATCCAAGATCAAAATAACTTCAACCCCTTTAATGATCTATTTCTTCATCTTTCAAAGAGAGGTAAATGCATGCCATAGAATTACAAGGACTAAATGAGATAATATGTAGTTACGCTCATCATAAAGCCTGTAATCATTACCATCCATCATCATCATCATCAGATAAACTTCTCTTGGCAGGTTATAACCAGTAGATATAAGTGACAGAGTACTTGCCTAAAAATTGAGCCTGAGTCTGAGCAAGTCTTTAAACTCCTATGTGTAGGAAATACAGGGGGGACAGGGAAAAATTAAATGCTAGAGGTGTAATCTCTAAATTACAGATTGTTGGAAACTCTGTAGGACACATAATCCAGCCTCTTTTATAAATAAATTTCAAGGAAATAGAAATCAATCAAAAATAGTTAAGATTTATTACCAGTTGAAATATGGATCTTATTTGGATCCTGATTTTTTTTTTTTCTTTTTTTTTGGAGAGGTTTTCACTATAGGGCGCGTGTGCTCGCCGGAAAGACAGAGAGAGAGACAGAGAGATAGAAAGCGAGAAATCGCCCCCCAGAAGGGATGGCCAGGCCACAATCCCTTCTCCTCCATTCTCCTCTTGGGATCTTGGGCATGCACGCATACACACCCGGCATGAATTTAAGCCACTGGGTCCGGAATTCGAACTGTGGTTGACTACATGGGAGTCCAGTGACATAGCCATTACGCCAACTGCTGGTCCTTGGATCCTGATTTGAATAGAGTGAGTATGAAAGAAAGAGAATGTATGAACTAGGGGATATTTAAACTATCATTTGATGAAAAGGAACCATTAATGGTCGATGGTTTCTAAAATGTCTTCTAGAGTTGCATGCGGAAATACTTACAGATGATATAATATATGATTACTTCAGTACAATCCTGGATCATGAAAAGAATGGGGAGGAGTATAAACTGTGTTTTTTATCAACACTAGTTATTATTCTTTCAAAACAATTTGGCAACTTTGAAGGCTAGAAGTGGTATCTCTTTGTTGTTTTAGTGCTAGTATAAAATAGTCCATGTATTGTGCTGTCAGAGAAGTCATGACATATTTTTCTACATTTCTCTATACAAAAATGGGGCATGACTTTTCCGGCAACCCAGTACAATACTGAAATTTTCCTTCTTTGAATTTTAGAAAATATTTTTAATAATGGAGAATTTATTTTCACATATTTAGGAAAGTATTTACATTTTAAAATTATTTTATTACATTAAAAGAAGAGATGATGAGGGTATAGCTTAAATGAGTGAGCAAAGTTGAAGCTGGTGATAGGTATATTGGGATTCATTATATTTTTTTTTCTCTGTTTTTGATATTTTCGGTGTATATTTGAAAATTTTCCTTAAAACAAAAACAACAGATGATCTGTGGTACTTGTTACAAAATGATTTCTGTTTGGGTGAAAGGCTGGTCTTGCTGTTACTCAGATCACTGTTAATTGATCATTTTTATGGTCTATGAAGATAAGATAAATAGCCAATTATGCTAGGGAAATTAGTTGGATAGAAAAGCCAGGGCTATACCAACTCTCTTAAAGCTTTATTTTTCCATGTAATATTATTAAAAAGTGAGAATTATTTATGAATTAACTGAAAATAGAAGAGATTACGTTACATTCCATTTAGAAAAATAAACTGAATTAGTACAAACCTTTAAATGTCATCGTATTTTCAGTGAATGAGCCAACCAGGATACGTGCACCAAAAGATTCCTCGGACCAGCCTGGATAATCTTCACCAACTATTTTGATGTTCCTACTCAGTATCCCAACATCAGCCGCTAATGTGTAGCTCTGACCTGTTCCAGGGACTTGGTATCTTTCCGCTGCAAAGGACAGCTAGATTACAGCCGATGCTGAGAAATACCTGCCTTTGTTAGTTTCTTTGCTAGTTTATCAGCCAAATGATGCTCTAACATGCCAAAAGTCAACAGGAACACATGAACGGTTAGATTTACATGCTTAAACATATATACATGGAAGATGGAAATTATGATACACTTTTATTTATGAACTAAAATAGAACAATAGAACATAAACTGTATCTTTTATTGGGTTGTCAGGAAAATCATGACATATATTTCAGTTTTTCTATGCAAAAGTGCACTGTGACTTTCCTGACGGTCCAATATTTATACCTATAAAACGATTTATACCTAAAGACGATTATAACCAGCTTATACAGTTATTGCTTAACAACTCCCATAGGTAGTTTTCATCTCTTCAAATGATACAAATTGAGAAGCTACTGTCACTTTTATAGGCAAGGAAATGAGGTACAAGTAAAATAATTTGCCCAAGGCCCTGAGGAGAATCCACACCTGGGTACTACTTCTCCCAGCACCTAAGTGATCCGTGCCTCTTTTCCTGTGGTGTGCTTGTGTCAGCCACAATGCTTTGTAAATATGTAGTAGCATATCCAATACCATCTGTCCCATATCTTAATGATATGCAAAGTTAATCTATAGCCAGTCCTGTAGCCTAATGATAAAATACCCGGATTTTCTCTAGCCATCCGAAGTTTGAATCCTGACCCCAGTGACTCGAAAAACACATAGAGTTGAGGTCAGCAGGTGGTGTGGTGGTAAAGGCGCTGGCCTCCTACCTGGCTGACTGTGGTTCAAATCACGGATCCAGTGGTTTGAAAATCATACTGGGTACATGTGTGTGCATGTCCAAAAATCCCAGGAGGAGAATGGAAGAAAAGGGAATGCCATCTCTCCTGGGGCGGGGGGGTAATTTCTCACTTTCCCTCTCTCTGTGTCTCTCTTTGGTGAGCACATGTACCCTATGGCACAAACCTCTCCAAAAAAAAAAAATTATCTATTTTTCTGTCCTATAAATGTCTTGCCTCTCTATTTTTCTTCTTAATCCCTTTCCTTAGATAGTTCCCTGTCTCTCACCCACTTCCCATACTGTCTCTATTATCTGTAACCATTTTCTATGCTTCTGTATCCTCCAATCTTTCAGTTTCCACCACAGAGTGTGGACAGTCAGTATATATTAAGTGGAGG